TACAATATATGTGCGACGATGATTGTATATTTACATGATCGATGTCATTGCTGAAAATGCTAAAGATCGTACAGGAGAAAACAAAATCCTCTGTGAAATTTTTTTTTTTACAGATATGTCTTATAGGCATAAGTGGTCTTCACCGTAACACGTAAAACTTATCAAAATCGCATTCGTTCATAAATATTTATACATGTATCTAGTAAATCACGCCGTCTGAATCTCTTATTGGAAATTATCTATACATAGATGTAGATCATATGAAAAACAACAATCTTAAATAAAATTCTAATTTTAAAATGATGATATAAACCTCAAGATATAAATCAAATTTAGTTTTATAAAATAGATTTAAATGTTTAGATATATACAATAAATAGACGTGTCAAATTTGTAAAACATGCACGTAGATAAAAAATATGATCAACACTCACCAGCACTCTCAGTGCATCGTAACAATCTTTAATATCTTATACTTTCTCTACTCTAGAAAAATAAACCCTTTTGTCATGAGCGCAAACATATGACGCTCCTTATTCCGGAAATAGTTACAGCAAACATTCTTTTTTTATTCACCAAATGACGTGATCACGTGACGCCGTGCAATCGCGTCCTTAATTTTAAAAAATTAACCCTGTTGAATTAACGTAAAAATACAACAAATGTGCTTTAAAATTAATTTGTCACTTTTTCTCCTCTCAATGTTTGTTTGCATTATTTAAATTTACAACGTCACAAACGGCTCTTACGTCTATAAAGCACACCAGTTTTGAAGCGCGCTAAATTCACATCAAAGATTACCGAAATAAACACTTATGAAGAGGAAAAAATTAAAGAATGTAAATATAAGTATTGAATTCATATTTTGGGATGTCTTCGGTCATATAACACACCTGGCAGTGCCGACAAATTATCATACCGCGCTAATGCTCGTTATTCAATTTGTCGGCACGGCCAGGTGTGTTATAGGACCGAAGACATCCTAAAATATGAATTCAATGCTTAAATATATGCAATAAGAACTTCAAACAATCCTGTGAAAGCACCAATTTTCATGGGTGATTAATTTACGTTTTCATGGCATGAGAGACCCACAAAATCATATCCTCCATGAAATGTAAATTTTTTAATGCTATATTTTTTCAACCACAAGTCCCCTTAAACTAACATATTTTCCTCATATCATGAAAATTTTACCCCATAAATTTTTTTTTACAGTACATGTATATATACAAAATAGATTTTGTTCAAAAACTTCATCAGATGCCTGAAAGCTACACAGAGTTACCTCCTCCTGGACTAAGCTGCATCTGGTTCTGCGCAGTTCGTAAAGTTTGGAGGCTTTGAGACAGGAGGGCTTGACGACCTGGAGGTAATTACACAGAGACAGGGCTGTGGTGGGGCCCGTCCAGATATCATCCTATGTCATAAACAATAAAATCATAGATATAATTCTCATTTAAACCTGTATTTGAATTCGTTACAATTTTTTAGTGCCCAAGAAAGAAAAGTTACTTAATTAATTTTGTTATACTTGGAAAACCCCCAAAAAATGAATCCTATGATTATATGCAGTATCTGAACTTTGTCTTTATATTTACATGGTATTTCATACCTGAGTAATGTCACATTCCACTGCGGTCTTGTTGATGGATAATTGGGAAATGAGGGACTCTTCTACAGCTGTTGTATTGTTACGGGGCATGGTGATGTTGTCACAGTCCTTATTAAGAAGTGCCTGGGTGGAGTCTAGGGGTGATGCTTTAAAGTAATACCCAGAGATTAAGTTTTTTGTAAAGTAAAACACTTGTCACATGTACATACATGTATTTGAAACCCTTTCTTGTGCCCCCTAAACAATGTAAAGGCTAATGTGCTTGTCTGTATATCATTTTAACATTAAAGCTAAATTTGATTTTAAAGAGCTCTAAATATATCTTGAAGATCTTTTAACCTATTTCACGTCGCCCAAAATGACTCTTGGTGGCCTTATAATTTAGTGACATGTACAAACTTTTGAGTCTTTTACTGTTGTCCATCTTTAAAGTCGCTTGGTCCGATTCTAATTGCTAAAAATATACATTCGTTTTTCTTTTTGAAAAATAATTGTCCATAAATTATTTCAACTTCTGTCAAATTATATCCCCAAAGTCTTTTTCTTCTTAAAGATATCAAAATTCAAAAGTTAAAAAAATAATTTTTGTTAGGTCACACAAAAAATAATCCTTTGTTGACATTTGTTGACATTGCGTGAAATCACCTTCAAAAAATTAAATTTAATATCGCTTACATGTATAACTCATGAAGAACAAACCCGAGCATTTTTTCCACAACAAAGTGTACATGGGCAATATTCTAGCCCTCGTTACTAAACTCCCTTTTTAAAAAATCTTTAAGAATATCTGATTTTCCTCTATTCTGTAAATATGCATATTAATATAAAAATTACTATGGATTATATTCAATTAATTTCTTAATTTTTAAAAGATATATCATGACTTAGGATTCTACTAATGGAAAAAAAAAATACTCGGGTTTGAATTCTCTTCATAACTAGATATAACCGATAAAAGTATTTTTTTTCAAAGGTGACTTCAAAACAGATCTTAACTTCCCGTCAGGAACTGCTGTTTGTCAACAAGGTTTTTGGTCTATGTTTTACATGTAAGGATTGTTGTAATAAACTATTAAATCAATCTTATAATTAATTTTTTATATATTATCTATGTCATGACATACTTTTATTGTTTAAGATAATATGTGCCTGCTTCGGATGAAGTGGCTTTAATACTGTATACAGGGAAATTTTCGCCCCCGTTTTATTTTAGCCCCTTTCGCCCTCTTCCTGATTGGGTGAATTTAAAACGGTGAAAATTCAAATTACACAGCATAATTTCTTAAACAAAACTAACACTGACTTTAACAAACATGAATCTTCCCTACAAAAGGATGATTCCTTTCATTAAACATGTCTTACCAATGGTTGAGGTACTTTCAGGTCTAAAGGATGTAACAGTAGAATTCAGAGTGGCATCTGTAAACAAATTCTCAGGCGGCCCCTGCTCCAGAAGTCCAACTTCCATATTAGCTTCCATCATAAGACCTACAAAGTACAAAATACATGTATATATTCAAGTTTAAGCATTATCAATAAATGTATAAATGTACACTGTATCAGTTACATTATTAAGTGAGAATCAAGATTTATTTGATAAGCAAATAAAAATTGTTTTAAAGAAAATCACTCTTTTAAAAATTATTAGTACCTACACATATTATAAAGATAAATCAATAAATATATGGACAAACAAGCCCCCCCCCAATAGGTTTAATGTATTTTAAATGTAACTGATTGTAGAGATCTGGAAATATTTAACTTACTTAATGGTTTATCATTTGTCTTTTGTGTCCCATTTAAATTCATATTGGATTCCCCTTCTGCCCAAATACTGTCAGTTAATTTGGGTAATCCAGCAACATCATTTCCTTCTAATTTATTTTTCACTGATATACATGTAAGTGATGCTGTTGTTATCTTGGTTTCTTCCATAGCCCCACTGTTGTTACCAAAAGTAAGGGTTACGTTACTGCCAGTCAATGTTGGCAATTTCTCAACTGTCTCGGAAACCATTTGACTTTGGGCAGCAACCCCTGAAGCAAAAGCCAATGGTTCATTGTCACTGATCAAGTTAGTAGTTACAGGTTTTGTTTCATCCATAGCTGCACTTTTATCAGCAAATAAAACTGTTTTGTTTTCTGCAACTTTGAGCAGATCTGAAATCTCGGGCTTCGATATGATGTTCTGTTTGGAGCCTATCACGATATTGGCGGTCACCATCTTTGTTTCTTCCAGCCAGTCACTTTTATTGCTGAACGTCAGTGTTTTATTTTCCCCCTGCCTCTCAATATTCTCACTCTGGCTTGCTATGATGTTGTCCTTGACTACTGACAAACTCTCAACTGGTTTCATCAAGATGTCATCAAACTTAGTGGTATGTTCCTTGAGGAGGTTCTTCAGATCTGCCAGAGTTCTAGTGTTTCCATCACCTTTGTCAATGACCATATCCTCATCACACCTTTCCTTTTCTGTGGATTCAACCAATGGTTCTGTTCTCTTAGCCTCAAATACATCTTCTGCTTGCAGTGTTGTTGTATTGTCTGTTTCAGTTTTCTTGAAATTAAAGCTAATTTCTGAATCATTATCAGAATCAGCCTCTTCCATTTCACGCACCTTGTTTTCATACTCTTTCGAAAATAATGAAGCTACAACTTGCTGTTCCCCATCTTGCACATGATTTCTAGACTTCTCTATCTGCTCTCCCATTCCATTTACTTCGTCTTTCCTACCTCCTTTTGTTGAATCCTTTACTTCAATTACTCCAGTTAGAGGTTTTGTTTCTTCCATTAAACTGAGAGTCTTTGTCTTCTCATTGGACTGTGCCTCTGCCATCCAAATTCCTCCTGTTAGAGCCCTAGTTTCTTCCATGTTGTCCTCCGTTGTAACTTTCTTTGTTTCTTCCCCATCTTGTTTGAAGGAATTCATGACTGAATCACCCCTGCCTAACTTGTCACCACTTGCTTCCGGGCCAGTAAAAATTCCCCCAGTTAGAGCCTTAGTTTCTTCCATATTGTCTTCCTTTCCAAAAATTTGGGTTTTCTCCCCATCTTGATTAAAACTCTTCCCAACCTGATCTCTGCTTTCTATCACCCCAAAACTTCTGTCTGAGCCGGTCCAAATTTCTCCAAACAGAGCTTTAGTTTCTTCCATGCTATCTTCCTTTCCAAATATCTTTGTTTCCTCTCCTTGTTTGAAAACACTTCCTAAGGAGTTTCTGCTGTCCATCTTCCCAACACTTCTCTCAGGGTCTGTCCAAATTCCTCCAGTCAGAGCTTTGGTTTCCTCCATACTATCCCCCTTTCCAAATACCCTTGTTTCTTCCCCACTGTGCTTAAATCGACTCTCTGATGAGTTCTTGTTGCCAGTAATCCCAACACCATTTTCCATGCCAGTCCAAATTCCTCCGGTCAGAGCTTTAGTTTCTTCCATGTTATCATCTTTCACAAATATCTTTGTTTCCTCCCAACCTTGCTGGAAGGGTTTTTCCACTGCTTGACTATTGACCATCACCCCACCATCTCTATCTGAGTCCATCAGAATTTCACCCTTGAGCACTCTCGTTTCTTCCATGTTTCCACCTGTACTGTATAGGCAAGTTTTCTCTCTATCTTTCATGTAAATTTCCTCCTCTGTCCAAATTCCCCTTGAAATTAGTTTTGTCTCCTCCATGGCATCCCCTCCGTGAAAGACTTGTGTCACTTCAGAGTTGCTTTCCACGTGAATTTTTTCCACTACGTTGTGATGTCTCTGTATCATATCTAAACTGTGATGATCCCTCTTTTCCATTGTCCATATGGTGCTGTCCAGAACTGCTGTCTCATCCATACCATCTCCTGAAGCAAAGACCTGGGTTCTTTCAAACTCGGAAGGGGTAGAATGTGCTGACCGCAAATTTTCAATGAAATCTTTGTTCTGGTTTTTCAGGAGTGACTGAAGAAATCCAGTAGCTTTGGGTTTCTCTAAATCAGACTGATAGTTAAGTTCACTTGCTAAATCAGCTGTCAAGTTTTCAGCAGTTCCTGAGGTAAGAATCTCTGGTTTTTGAGAAGAAGGCACTAATGTTAGAGGTGCTCTCTTGGCTACACTCAGTTGACTTGACAGAGTTGTGGTTCCTGATACGAGACTGGACATAGTGGATTGCATAGAACAGCTGTAACGATTCATAGTTGTGTAAACGTATGTATCGGGGTCCCCCTGGGTTTTGGCATGAAACAACTTTTCTGGGGTCTCTATCTGTAAACTGGTGCTGAAAGGTAATTCAAACAATATGACAAGATTTATGAACATTCAAAATATGCTTTCATTGGAAATTTTTCTCCCTTTCCCTTCAAGGAGCATAATTTATCTCTATATAAGTAATTTAAACAAATCTTTCATAAAACTAAGATGCAACTGCATAATGTGAGGAACTTGAGATTTTTGTGAAGAAAAAATCAAATTAAATTACTATATGTAATACTTAAAGCTGAATGTTATAATATTAATCTTTCATGTTTGCAAATCCTGATTTCCTAAATGATAAATACTGGTCCCAATATTGTCTTGGTTAGAAGTGTGTTTTAAGTTCTCACAGCCTTATTCATTCAAGATCATAATAAATCTGAGGTTTGAAACCATACATGCTGAAATCTCCAATGATTGATTTTCATGTTGGACATTAGTAGGAGTTACCAAAAAAAAAATCTAAGTGTGATTGGGATTTCTTAAAAAGTGGTATAACCCTTTTTTTTAAAACCAGTGTTACCTTTTTGTCCTCTTTTCAGATGAAATCAGACTTTGAAGAAATTTGTGATCCACTCTGCTCTTGCTTTTCAGTTCCTCAAAGTCATCCGGAGGTTCATCAGATAATCCGACTAATCCAGTCAGCTCCATCTCGTCATTCATAACCAGGGTGTGGTTAATGGGATCCACAGGGACTCCCAAGGGCTGATCCTCCTCAAAAGGGACTTCCTGCCCATCCTAGAAATTTAAATCCCAAAAGTTCAATTCACTGGTCTAATATTAATACAATCTACTAAATAAATCCTGTTATAATGCTTAATATACAGTGTTATTGAAAGATTTATATTTTAAAAAATGTACAAAAATACAAATTTTAACAAGATTGAGATTTTTTTTTCCCATTTAAAATACAAATTTATGAAGGTGATGTCTGCTGGAATTATCTTAGTATTCAGACTTCATTCATTCACAATGTAATCAAACTCTACAGTGTATATTTTTGCCAAAAAAATATAATTTTGCTGATGTGTCAGTTTGAAGACTGCTAACTTTCCTGTTCTATAGTTAGTAAAATTGTACATGTTATTCATTGATCAACACATTTGTTTTGTTAAAAAAAAAAAAAAATTCAAGAAGAGTTTTTACCTCATCTGTGAAACCTGGATGCTGTATTGAACCTGTCAGAAGCTTATCTAGGCCTGTAAATAAATAAATACCAAAACTAAAATGCATATCTATAGAAATACAGGTATCACTAAAAGGCAAAGGATTTTCTTAATATGCATGGATCAGTACAGGTGCGTACTACATTATCACTGTAAAAGGACCTAAATGAGTTACTTTTATTCCGACGTGCAAGAAATATCTTAATTTTGAAGCCATTCATAATGGCTCTAATATAATAATAGCTGAAGTTTGTTTATGAATGTTTATTACCTGAAATCTCTGGTTTTTCCTGTTCTATGGTACTGAAAATAAATTCAATCATAAAATTTAATGTTGTGATTTCATTATGCATGTAAATAGTTATCTATTTTAATTTGTTTTTTACTTATTACCAAGGTAACCTATGATGTACATATACATGTATATGAAATGGTGTACGATAATTTTTTTTTAAATATGAAATTTAGTATGTTTCTACAAAACTACATACATAAAATACCAAAATACATACTTTTCTAAATTTGGAGAGTTCTCTGAAATACAATAGGGACACATTATTTAAGCAGCCATATATATATTATTGAATGATCAAAAGAAAAAACCAGAAGTCTCTGTCGAGACTGAAGCTCTACTGGTTTGTACGTATAGCAAAGGAAGAGAAAAATACTTAAGCAGTTGGGAATTGAAACTTTATAACAGCAATAAATAGAATAATGATCCTTGATTAAGTCTTTCTATGTTCTTAGTGTAGTCTACTTGCATGCCACATTATATTATAATCAGACTAAAACTGTATTTGAGTGGTATTTTGAAAGTATTAAACAGAAATTTCTATTTTTAGTAACCAAGGCAATGATGTTCTTCGAAATCTAAAATCGATAAACAGAATTGTGTATCATAGTGTAGTCTACTTGTGTGCCAACTTACATTGAAATCAGTCCAAAACTGTAGGAGACGTAGCATTTTAAAAGAATTTCACAGAAATTTCTATTTTTAGTAACCACGGCAACATCGTTTATCGAAATCAAAAACTGATAAACAGAATTATGTATTTTAGTGTAGTCTACTTGTGTGCCAAGTTATATTGAAATCAGTCCAAAACTGTAGGAGGAGTAGCATTTTGAAAGAATTTCACAGAAATTTCTATTTTTAGTAACCACGGCAACACCGTTCATCGAAATCAAAAACCGATATACAGAATTATGTATCTTAGTGTAGTCTACTTGTGTGCCAAGTTATATTGAAATTAGATGAAAACTGTAGGAGTAGTAGCATTTTGAAAAATTGTTTACAGACAGACGGACAGACAGACAGACGGACGGACGCCGGACGCATTACTATCGCATAAGCTCTTCTGGTCTCTGACCAGTAGAGCTAAAAACTCTGCCTGTGACATGAAATGTATTTGCTAATACCAGTATTAACATTTCTTCATGTATGTTGCACCAAAAAATCAGATGCATCTATCGCAGAAGCATTTATTTCTGAAAGTTTTTTTTATTAATAGAAAATGCTCATTAGTCTGTGTATTCTTATAACATTCAAACAGGTATACATGTATATTTAAGCCGATTTAAACTTACCTGCACTTGAATTTTCATGATGCCAAGCTCCTGGGGAATCCTTTGGAAATTCTCTGCAATTAAGAAGCCATCATACCAATATTAAACAAATTAACTGATGATGTTTAAAAATAAATTGGTGTCCCTTCTTTACCAATATTTTGCAAATGAAAATGATCAGGATTTTGAGGACAAATTTGTATGCTAAAAATAGAAATATTGTTTTGATTGTAAGGCCATTCCAAGTTTTTTCTCTGTTTAGCATCCACCCATCTTTCAAAAACCTACCTACCTATTCGCAAAAAAAACACAAGCCAAAACATAAAACACGGGCTTAAACGTCATAAAAATGACGCCCTTCAAATGATTTGATCTAACTAAACTGCTTAAATAGAAGAAATATCTATTCTTAAGCAAAAACAAGGGATTAAATGCTTAATAAACACCCAATATAACTTACTCTATAGAATTTTTTAGAGAAATTGACAAAATTCAACTAAATTAATCAATTTCAGGACTCCTGATGTTGTGTGTTTTTTTCTTATATGGAGTGTCAAAAACCAAGGCGCACGCAGACGCTAAACATAGAAAAAACTTGGAATGGCCTAATGTGTAAATAATGCTCACTTGATTTGACAAGTATCAGCAAAACTAACTCTTCTGTTTTCTGATCTCCTGGCTTTCTTCTTGGGAGGAACTTTACAGCCATCCTAGAAAAAAAAAATTCAGTTTAAAAAGAAATAATGGCAAAAAGAATTTAATGTGGTTTAAAAAAAATCATATTTGACTTTAATGTTATAGTATAGTGACTTCCATCTAACATGAAGCATTGGTCTTTGAACTGAAAAAAATATTGTAAATCACAAATAGCCATACAAACAGGTAAATTTACAAACATTGTCTAGTAAATACACATGTATAACAAATGTATAGCCTGATATCTGATATGAAGCATAAAATATACATGAATATTGTAAAACTTTGCAAAAATCATGGCTGTTCCCAGTTTTACAATCAAGTCAATTCATACAAGAATACCTGCTGATTTGGATCAAGATCTGACAATGGCAGTTTTGACTGTGGAATCTTTAGGATCTGCAATTCAAATTTCATCATTTTCAAATACAAATGCTGGATGATTCTTTTAATATTCCTTTGATCAGAAAGAGGCATCATTTTATTTAATTAATACACCATTCTGACAGTAAAAAATTTTAAGAGGTATTAATAAAAGTAATTATGTTAGATGTACATGCATAAACTTTGTATGTAATGTACATGTATAGACTTCAAACAGAAATTTGTGGAATGACAAAACCTTCACTTACTGATGAAGATCTTCTGTTAGATCTTCTATGACGCTTGTGCTCTGAACCATCTTTTCTGTAATTAAAATTTGATAAATGTCTATAGTACATGTATACGTCTAGCTATTTTTACAATGAATTTTTCTTCCTGCCAGCATCATAGGTAGGACAAATTAACTCTATCCTCTTTAATGATATCTTCACTAATCATATAACACTGTTTTTATACATATTTTCTTGAATAAATTTTTTTTTTCACCATTACTGGCATTAGCAAACAGAAAAGAAACATTTTGGCAAAATAATAGTTTTTCAACACTAATCTGTTCTGAAACAAAGTATGAAAAAAATGTTTTCTTTAGATAAATTGAAATCAAAGTTAATTTAAATAATTCAAAATTTTAAGTTAGGGAACTAATAATATAAAGAATTTATATGTGACCAAACTGTTATTTCTTGAATAAAATGACAAAGAAAACCATTTCTGCTTTACAAAATGATAAAACTGGTGATTCAACACAATAACACTTAACAGTTACTCAAACATTGAAAAAAGCAATCTTTTGCTAAACAGTAAGGGTATGTAAACAGCAGTGGACCTTATAACAAACTAATTTAAAAGATATATATGACTTTAAAAAGTATTGAAAAATAAATTACCTGATGGAGGTCAATGAAAATTTATTTTCGTCTGTATATTCCATGTTTTATCCATTTGCTATTCAGCTTTTGTCCAGACAGAGAGAAAATACCTAACTTTCTTTACACGTATACCTAAAAGGCAAGAATCATTTAAAATTGTACCTAAAAATTAATCATAAGATGGTCCTTTTTTGATGTAATTTGGTTTGCAATTTTAAATTGCTAACTTTTGTGATAAAAAAAAGGCAAGGTTAAAAAAAAAAAAAGCATCTGAGGAAACTTGGGTTAAATAATCCGTGTACAAGGGCTGTTTGCCTGGACATAGCGTTACTTATTAACTTAATTGACATCTGTTTTTTACACAACTTTGTACATTCAATAACATTTAATCATTATTTTACATACACAAACCATTAAGATGTGTAAAACCAACTGCTTTTGTAAAATCCGTGATTGTTTACCCTTTTGATTTTCGCCGCTCGTTATGAGCGCCACCTATAAAAACTATGAAAGATAACTCTTGTTTTCGCATTGACCTTATTTGTTTAGCATCAAATTATAGGCCCATTTCACATAAATTGTTTTTAAAGAAAGTGTTCTGTATAGTTCTCATAAAATATAAACGCATAAAAATATCCTACTAATTATTGAAGATTGGCGAACACAATTTTGGGGCATCAACTTTTTTTTATCTATTGGCCTAAGGGACATAACTCTTTTTATTACACTCCAATCTTACAGCTAAGGAATTTTTAGAAGTGGGCCTAGTTGAACACAATTAATTTATTGCCAGCAATAAGTTTATAGCATGTAGTTAAGCCCTTTTTTTATCTAATAACTTTGAAATGTATTTTGCTTTTTCCCAAACAAAAATATTTTTTTAAGAGAGGGTACTTTTTACTTTTGTGTAATTAATGAATAAAAAAAAATAATGCATCCATATCTTTAAGGTTCATAAACCCTCTGCTCACTCATATGAAATTTTTCTTTAACTTTTATGATTTTCCAAAGGAAATGTATATGCTAAATAAAATACAAACAATTATAGCATGGCTTGCGGGGCAAACTTTGACAAAAAAGGCACTAACAAACTTGACAAATTTATAAAGGAATGATAGACATTTGTGTCATTAAGAGTTATCTCTCATATCAGAGTATCAACGTACCTTAATTGCATTTTGTGTTAAAACAATAAAATTACAATTTTGCATAATTAAAATATTTCTTTTATTTTTCATACCCTCTAACTTCACTAGCACTTTGACCAAATCTAGGGGGAACTTTGACCAATTAATACTTGCATGAGGGCAGTAAAATTCTAGTATCGGGGGTGCTTTGACCAAGGCGGTTTTGTTAAGGGAGCGCTTTGACTGGATTTCTTTTAAACCCGCATGTTAGTAACAATGTAATTTAACATTTTCAAAAATTCCACCAAAGAACATGAAATTCAGTTCAAAAAATTTCATATTGATATTATAGGTATGGATAAATATTATCTTTTGATATTCATAATTATTCAAAACCAACTCGCACTACAGTAAAACTTGGTTATAACAAAGTCACTGGGACCTATGAAATTACTTCTCTATATATGTAGTTCATTATATCTCTATCAGGAATTTATTAAATTTATATAGCTGGGGATCCAAGATAACTTAATTCGCTATATCCATGAATTCACAATATCCGTGTTAGTACTAAAAAAGTCTTAATGTATTTTTAAAGAAAAATTCAGAAAAAATTTGATTGATTTACTGATTACCCAATTACCCAATCTCCCATGCAGAGCTGTCGTTCGTTCCTCTCTCAGACACCTCTGCAATAGGCTCATGTCAAGATTTTTGACATAACCTATAAAGCGTGATATCTGCAGGATTGTTTCAAATTAAATTAAAAGTTCTGGATTAATTAACTAAATATCTATCTAAAAAATCAGACATAAGCATAGAAATTAGATTATAATGAATTAAAACAGACGCACTATTTCTTGAGTTTATCACTGTGATATACGCAAGTCAACAACAGAGGTGAATGTATGAGCCGATGGTAGAGAGCGAGTTATACCTTATTTTCATGAGTAATTAAATCCTGCCAAAATTATGCCTCTTTTATAATTTCACTACTCATTTTTTCCAAAAATACTGAAACTTACTAATCACAAAATACTTTCTGCTGCAATTATAGTAAAGCTTAAAAGGCTTGAGAAAAACACAGTAGAAGAAGATACTGATAACTTATCATTAATTTATTCAGTATATATATATTTAATATATTTCACAATCAAAATAATTAACTATGTCGAAAATAGTTAATTTTACATGAAACAAACATACAAGCCATGATAAAGGACATATAGTTACATGTTACTTTTTTTTAAATTCTTCACTGTTTTAAATAAATGATACAGACACACACAAAAAAGAAATATGAATCTGTATAAGTGAAGGTAGAAACCTCAACCAGTATTTTTTTTTTAATAATCAAAATTTTATAGAGCATGTACCATATAACAGAGAGAAGAAAATGAAATGTTAAAAAAAATTTTCTTTGCTTCCATAAAAGGAATCATCAATACATACTTTGTAAAAAACAAACTAGAAAAATCAAACACCAGAAATACATGTACATAACTTGAACAGTAACCATAAACCCACAAAAGATGTCTTATATGTTAACAAACAATCATTCAAATAAGAAATGCCACATGTTGTTGGTTTTGAAGTAGTGGGTAAAAGCAAGCATGTGTTCTAGTATTGGATATTATGATGAAATTAAACATTTACATGTACATGATTTTCATGGAAGGCTAAACATCTACATGTACATGATTTTCCTACTTGAATGACTAGGAAGGCTAAGGAATGAAATAATTTTTGTATTTTTTTTTCACTTTGAATTTGCTTTCTTTTTTAATTTCTCATGATCTGTGTATCAAATATTACTCATTGCTCTTAGTCTAACGAGCCTTTTCCAACAAATAACAGCTTTATTGCTTTCTTGAAGTACATTTACTTATGAAAGATGTTTCAAAACAAATCCTTTGACTGTGAAAAAAAATCATCAACTGCATAAGAATATTCCAGCATCTTGATCTTGAACCTAGTACAAACTTTCATCTTTCAAACAAGGGGGAATACATACTTTATGTATAAATTCAAGAGAAAAATAAAAGATCAGTGTAATAAGAGACAATGTTAAAGCTATTTTAAATATAAAATGTACTCTAGCAAACAATATACAAAATAAATAACAATTACTATTACTGTATTGTAAATTTAACACAGTCTATTTGGGCAACATCTGAAATGTAACATATTCATGTATAAAGCACTGTCAGTCTAACTCACACAAGGAGGAAAAATCTTTTTTTCCATGAAAGATTTATCTGGTCTGCAAGACAAAAGGGCACAAAAAATAAGTTTTTATTTATTATATGTATTTAATGTACAACATATGATTATGTTCATTGAGTGATATAGTCATAAAAGCTGACCTCTATCATAAGGATACGCACAAGTTAAAGCACCAAGTCAATTTTTGTTCACATGCTTATGGGAATGGAAACAAAGCCACAAAATAAGTTACTGTAATACCTCAGCAAACTATGCACCTAATTAACAATAGTTTTCTTACTCAGAGTGAGACAAAGTATTATATATTAGTCCTCTCATTCATGTATATTTATTCAATCTTTATTATAAATTTTTTCCCCATTCTGATAATTGTTTGGTCATGAAAAGAATTACGACTTCAAATGTTACAATTCATTTAAACAGACTTTGTAACTCTTTTCAAATATAAAGGAATCTAATGTTCAAACATCCACATGTAACACACATGTTTATTACCGGTGTATTATACTGTCTAAAACAGAAAACACAGAAAATGTCCAAATGGGTATGAAAATTAACCCCCCCCCCAAAAAAAAAATCACCTGATGAAAATTTCAACTGCAAAGAAAATTAGGAATACAATTCTTTGGACATTTCTGATTATCTGATTGTGGAGAATATATTTTATGACAGGTAGGACAAGACATGCAATAATGCTAGATGACTACCTACAGCTCGGTTATGCGTGCACACACAATTATTTTAAAACATTTGCCTCTGACATGTATTTCTTTCTTTCTGTTGAATTTTGAGTATTTCACAACATGTGCACAGAGCCTTGCATCATCTGCAAGCTAATTTACAGGAAGGTTTAAGTGATTATGCACATTTAGAACCATGCTTTAAAATTTCATTTTTATATCAAAATAAGCATGTAAAAGCATGATACATTGTATGTCTAATTCTACTGGTACTTTATGTATTAAAGCATTATAAGCTGGGGCAAATCACAGATTCATATAATTTTTTCCTTAGCCATAAAAAATAATTAAAAAAACATCCCTAAGATCATATACATCAAAGCTTTCTACTATTTAATATTGAAGTTGGTATATTCAGTATAATTTTTTTGGTCAAAATATTTTTATGCTTCTGCAGTTAAATTCTGTTGATTTTCTACATTTATACATACATGGGGATTTTTTTATGGAACATATTACATGTATTACATGTATCAACATTCATCAACAATCATACCATCACATCGTAACTGTCACACAAATTAATCATTCACAAAAAAATATTTACAATAAACTGGAAATGCAAATAATCTCTCTGAATTCACTGGACAATAGAATTAATGTCTGTAATACATTTATATGTAAAAACTGTTACATGAATCACAGATATGAGCAACTTCTAAATAGTCTACTATGAAGTTAAAATAGAGAAATCACTTCAATTTTGAGGCAATTTGATTTTTAAAATTAAAAAAATATAATTTCATGAGGAGACATTTTTGAGCATATCAAAAAAAAAAAATTCATATGACCCAAAATATCAGAGTCTATCTTTGATATATCATCATCTTAAGACACCAAATGGCTCACTTCACATTTTCGTTATTTTATAAATTGACTGAAAATTATTAATGTAAAGAATTCCTTCAAACAGAAACTAAAAATTTCTGAAAATCCATTTAATTCTCGTAAATCCCTGGACTTGATCTCCGCCATGATGGAAGCTGCATGTAGTGGAATGTGTTCTGTTTATTTCATCTTGTTCTGTTTGGCTACCCGCTTGCTGACCCTGCCGCACGTAATACCCACAAGGAAAAACACCCCTATAATACTACAGATCACAAACAGGAGATAGTTCTTGGAGGGGGAGGCCACAATCTGCTGGTAGACATCATGAAAGCCCTCGATGGGTTTACCCTGAGAAATAAAGGTAGACATTTTAATCATTATGTTTTTTTCTTTGGGGGGGGGGGGGTCCATGATCTTTTGGTAGACATCATGAAAGCCCTTGATGCCTTTACCCTGGGAAATAAAGGTCCATATTTTAATCATTATGTTTTTTTTACTACTGTATTAGTTCAGCAATCACAAAATTAATAATCAATTTCTCAATATTAATAAATCAATAGACTATTTAAGGCTATATCAGCCAAAACTTTAGGAAGTGAAAATTTGGCAGAGTAGTTGAATTTCAATCCATATACATATTTAGCACCGTTTAACTGTATCAGAATATGTAGAAATTGAACCTCCATAATATTTGGTTTGGTGAACTTTTTTGAATGTCACTTAACAACATAACTCAGTTCAAAATAATTCACAGAAAGCACCATATTTATATTAGTGATGCAAAATGATCCAAACCCTTTTCTATTTCCTTCAGAAGCAGTTATAGTTAAACATTTTAGCACAAACCTGAGCTGCTAATTCCCATAATTGTTTCCTCTTATTCAATTCTTTCAAACATTTCTCAGAAATTTGTTTTGGGTGATCCTCAAGTTCTGCTAGCAAGCAAGCCATTCCTAGAAGGTAAAAATGACAACAGTTAACAATTATTTTCCCTGGAATATGTCGTCAAGGTTTGAAATGCTGTGGTTGGGAGAATCAGAAAAAAATCTGAGCAATCTTGCTTTGAAGAATGTTAAGAACTATGTATAATGGAAAGAACATGACTCAAAATATTTAATGTTTGAATGTTTCTATTATGATAAAATTAGAGACCGAGCATTTATTTTCAATATTGTTTTCAGTGGTTAAAGTAAATATCCTCCAGAGATCAATGTTAATGACTAATTTCTGAACTGCCATGCATTATCAGTATTTTATTTTTTATCCTTATACTTACGACGTCCTTCACCAGTATCAAGGTCACCACAGAACTTCTGAAGGTCACGCTGACAGGTCATGTGAAGCAGTGGGTCCACGTTAATGTCAATCTGCGATTCCTGAATCACTCTCTCAATTTCCTATAAAAATTCAATTTACATAGGGATACTTAGGTATATCATAAAAATAAAGTGCCGCGCCACAGCATGATACGCCCGTCAAAAATTACAATTTTCTTCAACAGTTTAGCTTGCAATCACGTCAACCCTGATTCTAAATTTCCATGATTTTTCCATTCCTAAAAAATATTTATCCATCCCCTGTGATGTAGGCATTAGTTATAATAAATATTACATCATTGATGGATTTCTATGCTGGTTGTGTTAGACCTTGTCAAATGCTCATCATATTAAAGAATATCAAATTAGTCTTAACAAATTAATCTATACCAAATTGATTTTGAAAAGAAAAGGCTGGCCATCAAATGACATATGCTGTAAACTAACCAACAGTTCTTCTGTCTAATTCCCAAAGGTCATCATACAGCTTGATCAGAGTGATTAAGACAGCTAGCCTGAACTCATTAATTAATCTTTAACTGGATGCTTGTCTACTCATTAATACCAATAGATGAATGGGTCTGCACTATCTACCATAACTTTTTTAAAAACATATGAAATACTCAAAGATTTTTTTTTGTTGACATTTACAGACCTGTTTACCCATATCGTTGTTTCTCAGTAACTTTGATGAAAATTTTCCGTGAGATTTGGCATTTACCAGTGAGATTTTATTTTTTATTGATTTTATGTTTATTTATGGAGAAAGACTGATTTTCTGATTACTAAGTCGCCGGCATGGCAAAGTGGTTAAAGCGTCTGCTCTAGAGTCGCGAAGTAAGGACGCAGCAGGTGCTGGCACGAAAAAGATCCCTTCCCACTCAATGGGCCGACTAGAGGACAAATTTGCAGTTCTAAACCGGCAAGTGGTGGTGTCTCCATATGAGTGAAAGATTCTCGAGAGAGACGTTAAACAACGTACAATCAATCAATTTTATTATTAAATCGAAATTAACAAACACTTTTACTGCGAAATTCCGAACAAATGTATTTCCGTATTTTCATAACATCATAACGTGAGACGTATTTTGTATTAAAATTCCGTATAAAATACGGTGAAATCGTAAGAGTAAACAGGTCTGCATTTAATGTCTGACAGGTTTTAATATAAAATTCATATGGACATGCTGATTCCACCCCAATCCCATAAAATTAGTTTTTATAAATTAACAATTTTATATAATATAAGATTAGTCTACTATGCAATATTAAATTAGTTTTAATTACTTTTCATTAAATTCATTTTAAAACTTAGGCTAGCCAGCAAGAGCTATTTTTAATCCAACAGGCTCACACATTTGCCCAATACTCAAGGGATATAGATAACACCATGCTCTAGCTATTAGCGAAATCCTCACACTCAAAACTCATTAATTTCTCTCTAATTTGACATGCAATTTTCTGTTATCAAAATTCTTCTTGAGTCTTGACCAGTGCTTGATAATTACACTCATGGGAGAGGTAGGATTTCTTTAACATACATAATATTTGTTATAGATTGCTGTCAAGTATATGCTTTAAAAAAATAAGTATTTTCTTGATTTAACACTTTTTTAATAAGGACAGTGCAATACTCTTACATTATTTGGGATGTGTAAATGAATAGTAAAAAGACACATTTTTTTTAAAAATTTCATTTAAATCAAAGGTCACAGTGACCTTGAAATAGGTCGCGACACACCTTCTACCTAAGATGCATAAACTGGCCAAGTTTGATGATTGTAAGTCTTATAGTTTTGTAGTTATGGACCGGAAAGGATTTTTCCATATTTGGCTATATCTTCTTAAACAGACAGTCAGAGCGACCTACTTTTTGTGCGCGACACACCTTCTACCCAAGATGCATCAGATGACAAAGTTTGATAATCCTAGGCCTAGTAGTATTAAAGTTATGAGCCGGAAACGAAAAAGCTAACAGACAGACGGACGGACACGAAGCCTATAACATAATACGTCCCGTCTTAAGACGGGCGTATAATACTGCAATTGCACTTAATTTTAGGGCTATCATATTTTAGCGTCATCATTACTGCCTTTCACCCATTATTTCAATTAATTACACATTAATTTAAAATTATAACAAATTCATATAGAAGCCTGGCTTCAATCTGGAATACCAATTTAAGACTATGCCTATCAATTAAAATAAGAAAGATTGCACTAGATTTTGAATGTGCTGATTTACAGTGTATACAAATTTACAATACATATCTTTATCAGAGTATTGAAACAAAGCAATTTCCTTTAAAACAACTAATACACTTAGGAAATCTTTTAAATATTCCCTGATTCCCTAAAAAATCCAACAAATATAAACACCCCTTGTAATCACAGTATATGTATTACATGAACCTTTTTCTTAATTTCTCAAGAAATTAATTGAAAAACTTGAATGAAACTTGGTAGAAAAACAACTGAATTTTAACCTGTTTGCAAACAGTATTAGTGATGATACGGTTCAGGAATTTTTGCTTTAGACACTCCACAACTCTTCCATTGCCATCCTGGACCTGTACCATTTCTACTTTGTTTCTGCTCTCAGGGTACCTTCCCTTCATTGCCATCTCGTGCTCATCGCCGCAGTATTTAAAGATCTGTAAAAGAAGTCCCAGACTTATTGCTACGCTGGGTTTATGGTGCAAACAATGTCTGTGTGAGAGCAATTATAGCACTGCAGAAATCGAATCCTCATTTACAAGTATTTAAGTACCAGTCCACATAAAAATCAGACAAAACTGTAAAAAAGTGATATATGAGGGATCTCAGAATTTGATGATTTTTCACTCATAGATTTATTTTGAGGTAGGAACAATGTATGTAAAATGAAAAATGTTTTGAGTCATGGTAACCATGGAAACCCGGCCAAAGAAATTTCCTTAGCAACCGGCGGATTTTTCAGTGTTGAAGGACAAAAAATCACCTATGTTTGAGGCTTAAAATAACAAGTAAATACCATGAGAATTTTTCTTACTTATGGGTGTAATAAAGATACACATTTATTGTGTTCTAATAATGTAATAAAAAATATTTAGGTCTTAAGTCAGTTCTGTGGTAGACATTGGAAGGTACACATGTTTTACAAGTTTTGCTGATTCAGCATTTTTCGTGATTTTGGCAATATTCAAGGCCAAATTTTAAAAATGGCCAGATTAATACAGTTCTTGCATGTATCTCACATAAAAGTAGAGGCATTTCTCTTTTAGAATTTGAAGTCAAATCCATGGGCTCTTTTGAAAATCGAATCTGCTGCCTAGCAACAAAAATGGGCTTTTTGATGCATAAAATGAGAAACAATGTAAAAAGTTTACGGAAAAATCAAATGAACGGTTATTTATGATAAACAAGATACAAATTTTAAAATAGTATAATTAAATTCGGTCTCCCTAGCACATTATTGAATATTGCATAATTCTTTATCTCCATAGCAACGGCAGGTTCTCCATAGCAACAAGGCAAAGAAAGGTAATTTTGGTGTGTATTCGTGTAATCTTATTAAGGCTTATTCAAATTAAGTCAGAAAATGTGATTTAGCAAAACTGACAATGAACTGTTGGTCAATCTTAATTTTTTTTTCATCTTTAATCAACACACGGCAACGATTCCCAGTGCATAGCTCCTGTAAAGAGATTTGACTTTTGGATCAGTGTTCGTCATGGAATTGAATATTAAATTAATGTGTTGATGATTGTATTTGTGGAGAGTGCTGAAAAAATATATGAAATGTTCCATCAATTGTTGTCATGGCAACAACTACATGTGAGTGAATTTAAAATGGGGCGAGTTCAAAAAACACAGTATAAATTCTTCAACAGAACTGTGACTGGGCGAATTTAAAATGGGGCAAAATTTCTTGTATGTTTGAACGGGCAAAAATCATATGATACCAAATTAAGGATGTTTTCCATAGATAATGTTTTAATGTAACCTGTACGATATTGTGGATTAGATTCAAGACACTCACAGTCCATGGTTTCAATGGCTGCATTTGATTTCCGGAACTGTTTTCATTTCCGATATTTTAAAGTTTTCATCTCTGACATTTTTCAAGCAGTACTTTTCTGCAATGAAAGTAGCTAGGATTTAAGACTTAACTCATGAAAAATATTACAGAATAAATCATTGAAATCCAAAATAATGAAATTTGCAATTGATTTTAGTTTATGTTTTAAACCAAAGGCCATGACATGGGGGGGGGGGGGGGGGGGGGGGGGGGTAGGTTTGTTATTCAGTACCATTTTTTTTCAAACAGCACCACTTTGAATTCCCAATTTTAAGCCTATTTTGCAACGTGTCTGTGGAAAGTGGGGGGCTAAACCTAGACAGCAATGTTCAATGTCTATACTAGGAAAAGGCTAAGCCCCTAGCCCCCCCCCCCTGTTCCGACGCTTATGTAGTTTGGTAACTTTATAACCATAGACAGTGTAGGGGAATAAAAAAAATGCATTTCAACCACTCTACAACCATATATTTTCAGTTTGGGCACTATCAACAACCGAAAATTCCTTGGCAAACAAACTAAAACTTAGAAGATCGTCAGATATTATTATTATTGAGGGGGCACATGTATATTGTAGTGAAGTTTTCAATAGTATTCTATAGCTAAGTATCGGCATAATAGCCCCCCCCCCCCCCCCCCCCCGGCCTGCTTCTTACACGGCCATAGAAGAAACAATCATCTTTGAAGGAATTCTCAAAAAACAGTAGAATGTTTTTAATACAAAGACATCACAATTATACGAAGGCCTATTAGGATCAATCTAGAGAGAGAAAAAAATTAAAAGGCGTAATAACGCTAAAAAGGCGTTATAACGCCTTTTGAAAAGGCGTTATTACGCCTTTACATTCCAAAAGGCGCCTTTCTAAAAGGCGTTATTACGCCTTTCCATTCTAAAAGGCATTATTACGCCTTCCAAAAGGCGTTATTACGCCTTTCCAAAAGGCGATATTACGTTATTACGCCTTTCCAAAAGGCGTTATTATGCCTTTCTAAAGGGTGCCTTTCTAAAAGACGTTATTTTGCCTTCTAAAATGCGTTATTTTGCCTTTTTAAAAGGCGTTATTTGAATAACAATTATTTTGCATTTAACAGGCCCGTGATTTTTACCCCCCCCCCCCCACCACCACCAACCCTACTCAACTGGCTAAACTTGGGACTTCTCGGTAAAACTTTGTTTAGATGCAATAATTTGCCACAGTTTTACACACAACGACAAAATGTTCAGGAACCAAGCACCCAATAGTTAATTATAATATCTAAACTGTAGCACTGAAGACTTTTCCCCAAAAGTGTGTATGTGAAGAGGGGGGGGGGGTTACCTCATTCGCACTCGTACTACTAGCCTACTTGCAAAGGAAAATGGAAAGGCGTTAATTTATGTTAATAAAATGAATAAATAAATGAAAGATTTAATTAAAACCATCTTTATTTATGCATTTCTCTATATTCCTGCACATCTCACTGACAACTGTTTGCATTCGTATTAAAAGAAGGCAACACTCTACTTGTGAAGATACGATATAGGCAGATGTATCTTGGAGCTTTGCTTGCCATGTATTAAAATTCAGGTCATTTGAAGACATTTTTCTTTCTTCTTGGAAAAAAGCAGGCAAACTATTTGCATAGGTATAATGAGCAATTGAAATCAATGATCTTTGGTAGAGGTGTGTCTGGTATTTAAGAAGGACTTAGTTGGTTCAACATTGAAAATATATAACGCATTTAAAAATCTTTTTTCCCTGGAAATCTAATTGTTATCTGTTTAAATTATTTTTTGAGAAATTAGTCCTATATCAAATTGTGAAATTTTTGTCCCAAAGGTTAGATTTCTGCAACCCCCCCCCCCAACCGCACTCCTCGGTTGGGCTAAATATGTTAAGTCTTGTATTCAAAATAAATGCGTAATAACGCCTTTTCAAAAGGCGTATAACGCCTTTTAAAAAGGCGTAATAACGCCTTTTAGAATGGAAAGGCATAATATTTAACGCCTTTTAGAAAGGCGTTATACGTAATAACGCCTTTTGGAATGGAAAAAAGGCGTAATAATGCCTTTTCAAAAGGCGTTATAACGCCTTTTTTGGCGTTATTACGTCTTTTTGATTTTTTTTTCTCTCTAGATTGATCCTAATAGGCTTTCGTACAATTACGCCTGTACATGTAGCACAGGAAAAGATATTAATGTAAGTTGTATTGCTACTTGTATAAGTATGTATTGAATTATAAATATGTTTTTATTTTTTGAACATGAAATAAATTTATTTAGAATTTTATTTCCAGCTGTTTGGCAAGCAAAAAATTGTCAGTAAGGGATCCTGCAGATATCCAAGAAATGCAAAAATGTCGGAAATGAAATAAAATTGTCGGAATTGAAATTTTAAGCATGTCGGAAATCCTATGCAAAATAGTGGAAATTAAATGCAGTGAAAGAAAACATGAATATGAAATGAGCAAGCACACACAATTGTGTACACCTAATAAAACCCTTAACCCTGGCAATGTTTATCTAGCATATATTGTGTTCATTTGAGATAATTTCCATTTTTCAAAAGATAAGATATTTATAAGCTTGTATCTTTAACTTGTTGTTGGGCAGCTGACACCTATTCAGCTCACAAGGAATCTGTAGCTCTGGAGCTTCAAATGCTATTACCCAGAGAACAGGCCCATAGCAACGCGTATCAAAGTAGTGGGAGCAACCTCCAACATCGCTCACCTGAGCACATGGGCTAGGTAAAAGCAAATCCGCTCAGCACTCAAATGTTTACTTGGGGAAGGGAGGGGGATGGACTTGAATTTTATACTTCTTGCCACCATATCAATATAAATTACTGGTATTAATGTAAAAACTTTGGGCCAGGAAAGATGAAACTTATGTAGAAGCATTCTCAGGTAGTGTACATTCAAGTTTATTCAAGTCAGGACCCCCAGTGGTAGGGTGGGGCCACAATGGACGACCAACGTTTTACATAGGAATATATAGGAAAAATCGTCTTCTTAATAACAGCAAAGCCATAATTGGTCATGTTTATATGGAAGCATCCTCAGGTAGTGTAGATTCAAGTTTGTTCAAATCATGACCCCCGGGGGTACAGCCACAATGGATGATCAAAGTTTTACATAGGAATATATAGGAAAAATATATAAAAATCTTGATTGTTCTTGTTCGAATGTTAGCATCTTCAGGTAGTTTAGATAAAGATTTGTTAAAATCATGACCCCCAGGATTTGATGGGACCACAAAAGTACATAACTTATTTGGAATAAAGCCACAGTTAGTCAAAAAATATGTAAGCACTCTTAGTTAGTGTAGATTCAAGTATGCATAGATTCAAGTTTGTTCAAATCATCCCCCCTCTTTTAGGATCGGGACCACTCAGGCATTTACTGAATTGATTTTTCCTAGCCACAGTGCTCAGGTGAGCGATGTGGCCCATGGGCCCTGTGTTACATGGATGAGTTCGATGTCAATTGTTTTGTTTCTGTTGCATAATATTTCCATTTTAAGATATGAACTAACCGGACACATGAAGATGACCCTCTGACCATCGTTTGCATAATTTTTGAAATATGTTTGCACTACATTAATGCAAATCTCAC